TTCCCTTCTAAGAACCAGCAAGTTTTGGCAGCTTTCACTACATGCAAGACTCTCCACAGATGACACTGGTTCATTCAAGATATACGTACTTCCTTAAATGCCTTGTTATCTTGTAATTGGGAAGCGCACAGCTAAGCTGCTTTATGCTCCGAAGCCCACCTCCATGGCCCACTCAGCTTAGCCGGCGGAGCATGGCTGCCCGACACAGGACGATCTCAAGGATATCTACCCATTTCGAAGATGTCTACCATCTGAAAGAAATGCGATTGTCAAAATGTCTGTCTTGAATTAGATGAAGGTACAACATGCACAACCATCAGCTAGATCCTGCATGCCTAGACACGGTTCCATGGGCTGGGTAGCCCGCGGTTCCGGACTGTGGGTTCTTATTGCGTCTTACAGATGTAAAGCAAACCACAGAAGCTTGATTCGCAGAGAGACATTGCACAGTAGCACAACGTCATGCAAATACCGGAGCAGCAAGCATACTTAACACCTTTTTCCCTGTGCCAAATCGATCTCAATTAAGAACAGGCATCACTCACTTTTGAAGCTATGCCTGGTTGGCCCAGTTCAGCCTAGATACACGTTTGCGGGCCTCGTGCTTGATGACTGCGTGTGTGTGGCTTCGCATCTTTGCCAGCTGAAGTTGCTGGTCACGTACAGTTGCTCCTGCACGCCTTGCAAGGATCTCCGTCTTGGGCTTCCAAAAGCCTTCACACGCGAAAGGTTTCTCAACCAGAGCATTCCAAATCGCGAAGATGTTTTGAAGACAGAATGGGGGCGAGGAGCTACCTTCTTAGGATTCTGCGGATGGGCTACTTTCACCAACTCCCCCAACCTTCCCAGCAGGACCAGCATTGGCAAGTCTGAGTCTTCAATGCAACTGGAGGCGGTGGCGGCTCTGCTCCCTCATGAAGTACCAGCTCAGACAAGCTTGGTAAGACTTTTAGGATGTGCTCACCTGTTGGCTTCAGGGTCTATGGAGTGCGGGGGTTGGGCTTTGGGGTTGAGGGTCTGTAGGTTGTGGGGGCTAAGGTTTATGGTTTAGGGTCCATANNTAGGGTTTAGGAGGTTTAGGGCGTTCACCGCAGTTGGAGCTTCGAGGCAAAAGGCATCTATCGTGATGGGTTCCTTCGCAAGAGGAACAACATACAGGGACCCTGGTTTTGGAGAAATCCCTCATGACCCCAACACGCACCTGCCACATGATCCCTGTGCCTACCGAAAGAAAAGTCGTCTGCTTTGAGACCCTCAGCCCAGTAGAACTGCTTGCTCTCCTTCCCCAATGGTGTGTAGGACTTTTCTCCCCGAAACCCTACACCCTACAGCCCTAAA